TTTCCGTTAAGTTTTTTTGTACATTATGCTATAAAAGTTGTACATTAAAATATTTTGGACAAACATACCCCTACCGTTATAACTTCCGTTATCTTTTCCACTATTGTTACCATGCACATGCATCCACCATATATTTTCTTATCTTCTTCATTTTTTTTTTGAACAAAAATGAGAAAACTTCATTAATAATTCAGAAACCCGGAGATACACGTAGGCGGAACAATAGCCCATTCTCCCGAGACAGCCGAAGAACCAGTTGCCCGTGCTAACTCGTGAGCCACTCGGTTCGCTGATCTCATGACATGGCGGACACAGACGTCCCTAATATCATTTGCAATAGCTAAACATTGCTTAATAATTAAACCTATATACGAATAATCAGACAAGCATGAATAATGAAAGCGTTACAAAAATTCAAACAGTCAGTCTCAATAATGACATTATTGTATTGCGATTCCTTCAGCCAAGACAACGCCTCCTTCACTGCAATCGCCTCCGCCGTGAACGGATCACGTACCCCTTCAGTGTGCCCTGCCTTTGCTGCCATGAAAGTGCCGGTATGATCACGTAAAACAGCACCATGACCAATTCCGTTTGAGAAGACCGCAGCATCGACGTTGCACTTCACTCTCCCTCTAGGTGGTGGACTCCATCTAGTCATTACCTTGTCGCAATCTTCACGTCTAGCCTTGCCGTAACCATCATGCCAAATGGATTGCAAACCTGGTGGCGCATCGTAGTGAGCACCGGCGAAGTGTTACGCCAAACAGCCGCATTCCTAGTAGACCAAACCACCTCCATAATGGCTGCCATCATAATGGGTATGTCTTTGTCTGAACCCTCCAGAATTGAGTTCATAGCCATTGGTAACGAACGTCCTTGTATGAAATCAAACTGTCCCCAAAGGTCCACTGCGTAACAACAAACACCGAATAAGTGTTCTGCCGTTTCATTCACAAAACCGCACAATGGGCATCCCCCACCTATCCATACATGCTTTGTTTTTAGATTCTCGCGGACCGGAATCACCCCCCGAGCACATCGCCATAATAGATTTTTTACCTTAGGTGGTATTGGTAAAGACCAAAGTTTTTTCCAACACTGGAAGCCGTCAACCGCAACGTTATATCCTTGGCCGTCCATGAGCAGTCTATAGCCATGTCTAACCGTATATCTTCCCCTTATATCTCCAACCTAGCGCCATGAATCTTTGAAAATACAGTTAACAGGTGTTGCCAGAATTCGTTGAATATCATCGTCCTCAAAAATAGCTTGAATAATATCTCTATCCCAACTTCCCTCGGCATTAAACAGGCCATTCACAGTCGCGTCTTTTATTTCATCAATGCATGGTGTGTGTAAATTCGGATTAGAATTATCTGCTAGCCAACCCCATCCCCAAATTTTGGTGTCTGTCCCATCTCCAACCCGGCGTGCTACCCACCTCTTTAGAATTTCCTGGCCCGCAACAATGCTCCGCCATAGGAAACTAGGATTGTTTCCCACCCGTGCTTCCAAAAAATTAGTACCTGGAAAATATTTCGCTTTTAAAAGCCGGCTAACCAACGATTCAGGATGGATAAGAAGACGCCACCCTTGTTTTGCTAACAAGGCTAGGTTGAATTCATGCAATTTTTTAAACCCCAAACCACCGGTTGCTTTCGGAGCACACAATCTGGACCAGCTCAACCAATGAATCCCTCTACTCCCCGTGCCCCCACCACCCAACCAGTAACGATTAAGGCATTTCTCAATTGAGTCACAAGTCCTCCTTGGCAGCAGAAAAGTGGACATGGTAAAAATGGGTAAAGACTGAGCTATGCTTTTAATAAGGACCTCCTTACCTGCCCGTGATAGGAGTTTATGTTGCCACACCCCAATGCGACCCCGTAATTTGTCCTCAATGTATTTGAACGTGGATGTTTTGTTTCTACCCAGTACCGAAGGGAGTCCCAAGTATTTGCCCAAATCATCCGCAATCTGGACACCAATACATCTCGAGATGTGTTCACGCATAGCTGGAGCCGTATTGCGACTAAAGACAGCATTTGATTTATCGAGATTAATCAACTGTCCCGATGCTGCACTATACATGTTCAGGCATTCTTTGATTTTTAAAGCTTCACTTTGTATAGCCCTGAAAAAGAGAAGACTATCATCAGGAAAAAAGAGGTGGGTGACTGCCGGGGCCCCCCGGGCCACCCTAACCCCATGAATATCACCCCGAGCTTCTGCCTGCTGTAACAGGATAGATAAACCTTCAGCACAAAGAATAAATAGGTACGGGGATAACGGGTCACCCTGTCTTATCCCCCTCGTAGGACAAACTGTGCCAATACCGTCACCGTTAACCTGAACTGTGTAGTTAACGGTTGAGACACAATGCATTAGTAGTTGTGTCCATTCACGCCCATAGCCTAAGGCCCCCAACATCCCCTCCAAAAAGCCCCACTCCATCCTGTCATAGGCCTTCGCCATGTCTAATTTTAAAGTCGTCCACCCCAAATTCCCACACGTCTTTCTCCTAAGGTAATGAACAATTTCCCCCGCTATTATAATATTGTCCGTTAAAAGTCTCTCCGGGACAAAAGCACTTTGGGATTGTGAAACCACCATTTCCAAAGTTCCTTTTAAACGATTAGCCAACATCTTGGCCATTACTTTGTACGTAACGTTACAAAGAGCTATCGGACGCAAATCCGAAACTTTCTCAGGGGTCTTTTTCTTGGGAAGTAACACAATATTCGAATTGTTAAATTCCGGTGGAAAAGCCCTGTTTGCTACACAATTCAAGATAAACATCGACATGTCATGTCCTAAAACCGGCCAAAAATCTTATCTTCTTCATTAATAATAATATATACACATTAAATATTTGAGTTATATGCTTTTTTTTTTGAATGCATTTGAGTTATATGTTAATTATTACATAAATATAAATATCAAATTTATAAAAATTATTTACATTATTATTATTATTATTATTATTATTATTTAGAATAATTTAAATATCTAAAATCTAAATAAATTTAAAATTTTAATATAATGTATTAATATTGGACACTTATTTTTTGCGTATCGCGCATAAAAAATACTAGTCTATAAAATATTAACTAAAAATTATGATATATGTATCAAATTCCAAATCATATATACCTAATACAGATTTAATAGTTAGATTAACAACCAACTGACATGTAGAAGCTAGGAAATTAAAATCCATGTAATGGATACGACAAAAGAAATGCTAAAACGTCATTTATCAATCCAACTGCCATTTGAATTTCATAAAGTGGCCAATTATAAATGACATATTGTTCACGCACCAACCACATTCACTCACGTCCTCATCAACCACATATCTACTCTCACCTTTTCCTTGTGGCGTGGGACATGTCTTATGCACACGTACCCAATTTAATATTTTCCTTAAATATTGTACGTACCTATATTTAAATTCATATATACAGTGTATAGAAAACAATTACCATCAAATATTAAAATGGTAGATTCATATGAATCACACATAAATTAAAATACATATAAGTAAAGCTAAGGTTGTTCACTCAATAAAATTCAAATGGGAGTGGGGATGTCTTCTGTTAGTTAAGTGCCGAAAGAAATTTGTCGCCAACTTCTAAAGGTGTGCATTGGATAAACTTCGCTTTTATGTAATAACTCACAAGTCATAGAAGAGAAGTAAATTGTACTAAAAAGGTAGTGGGAAATTCTTAATTAGTAGGGATAGAAGTAAATGTGTGAAGAATAATTACTATATATAAGATATTAAAATGGTAGACTTGTATCAACTATATATAAAGAACTTGGGAATTGGGAGGATGGTTAGGTGAGTTTAGATCGGTCCACTGATCTAACCTCAGTTAATGTACCATTTGACAAAATTGTGGTGGGAGTGGTCCACCATTTTAATTATAGTTTTCTCAAAATCTATAGAGAAAGAGTCTAATGAGAGTTAGAGCGATGCATGTGATCAATGGCTCCTATTATCAATTTTGTATCATCATGTCACCACTCTCCAAAAAATATTTACAACAAAAGTTATTAGACCCCATTATTATTTTTTTTTAAAATCTACTATACCAATAAGACATCCTACTTATTATTATAAAAATAAAAATAGACAGTAACGTTGTTGTAAACTACAAAAATATCATTGCCTATTTCAAATGTATAATAATAATCACAAAATGTTATAAACATTATAGAATTTCTGTATAATAATTAAGTTTATTTAAAGATAGATAGCCAAACTCTTCTAGGTAGGGATGGCTAGATTGTAGAATACACATGTTTGTAGTAGGATAAGGTTAGACAATTCCGAGATGTGAGGGTCCCGGAGCATGGGATTTCACCTATTGTGTACAAGGCTAGACAATTAATAGATAGAGAGGACAATCACTTGTAAATTAATTACAGGAAAAATATATTTTTCGTCTCTAAATTATAAGGTAATTTTAAAATTCATCTTTAATTGTTGATTGTGTTTATTTTTCGTCTCTAAGTTATCATTGATATTATATTTTTTTTTCCCTTTACTGACAAAAAGATAGGGACGAAATTTGCAATGTTAGTATAGATTAGGAGCGAAAATTGAGCACAAAAAGCTAATAAAAGGATGAAAAGTGCAACACCAATAATAGCTTAAGGACGAAAAGTTAGCACGATCAACAATTAGGAACGAATTCTACAATTACACTATAATTTAAAGATGAAAATTGCAATTTTTCATTAATTATATTATAAATTAAAACACAAGTTGTTGTTGTCGTAGTTGTTTTAGGATTATTACATATTTATAAATTTGGGTGGTGTGGAGGGAGGATAGAGCATGTGAGTTTTCAGTGTCACAAATATAATAATCAACCTAACGTAACATCATATATATATATATATCATGAGCTACCTATAGTACGCTAATAAGACCAGAGAGAAAATCAAAATTAAAGATGAAGAAGAGTCATGGTGAGGAAGAAGAAGCTATGGATTGGTATTCATGGCTGTCAAAGTCTTCTTCTCTTGACCCTTCACATGTGTACGAGTATGGCCTAGCCTTCACCCGGAATGAGCTCAAGGACGAAGATTTGAGGCACTTTAACCACGAGTTTCTTCAGAGCATGGGCATATCCGTGGCTAAACACCGCCTCGAGATTCTAAAGCTAGCAAGAAATTCTAAGGAGGGAGGCCTTTCGAGATTCGTGAACACCACCAAGAAGCTTCTTGCCAAGATGGTTCCTCATCATCATCAGAGGAAGGTTAAGATGGTGAGCCGTTATCAGGAACGGGGCCCGATGCGGCCCTGTAAACCGCGGTTGCTGAAGTCAGGGCCGCTTGATAGGAAGGTTCCGGTTTCGGTTCAGGAGAAAATGGCAATCACTCCAAGTAGCCTATCAGGGCCCTTGGATGCCAAGGTTCAAGAGAGATTGATGCTCCCAAGCTGTAGCCCTATGGGTTGGGGTGGAGAGGTGAGGAAGGAGAGGAGGATGGTGTTTCCCACCATAAGCCCTAGTAGATCAGGGCCGTTGGATGCCACCAGCTGGACTTTGATGAGCATGAGCCCAAGCACTAATCAGAACAACGACGCTCATTCACTATGGTCCTTAATGTTTCAAGACATGAAGCCAACTTAATTGAAAAGATATATATTTCATGGCCTTCTTCATGCATGTTTGCAAAGGTTCAATTCCCTATATATACTAGCTTTTATATATATTACTTTTATTATGGCTGGAGTTTTTCTGTTTTGTGTTGAGATGGAACACATGCTTCAATTTGATATTAGAGCCAAAGATCGATTATGGTCTACGTGTTGCCTGGAGCCTGTCAAAAGTAATCGGTCCACACACGTGAGAGGGCGTGTTGAGCATGGAGCACATGCTTCAATTTTTTCAACTTTATAAACAAAAAATTTGAGTATATATTTGGTGCATATATGCATGTATGCTTTATGCCTTTACTTTCAAAATATTATATATTATATTTGTAAATTCAGTTCTCTCTCTCATTGTGTTCACTTTCACTGGGTCATGTTCTAATTAAGCTAGGATATGATGCTGCTTCAAGAACACCATATTTAATTTCTTTGAAATTCGTAATTGTGTAAATTAAATGTTGAAAATTCAACTAAAGCTGCTCATTATATTGCAGAGTTTCTGTAATCATATCCTGTGTTTCTTTTATCTTTAAAGATTTTGTATTGGCGGTTTATTTATAATATTCACTTTTAGCATACTAAAAATTTATTCATTGGCTCACCTTGTAAGATGGATCACGATTCATGGTATAATAATTACTAACGGTGTATTTGGTTCGCACATAGGAATCGGAATCGGAATGGGTATCAAATACTTGGTAATGGTAATGGGTTTTGGTGGAAGTATTTAACATGTTTGGTAGTAGGGTGGAATGGGAATGGTTACTAATAGTAGTGTTTGAAAATGAATAAGGGAATGAAACCCTTATTGTATTTGGGTATGAGTTTTTCAATTGATGGGGTATTCGAAACCCATAGTAGTGTTCTAAAAACCTATCAACCAAACAACGACAATCACTTTCATACCCATTCCTATGGACAAAACCCACCAACCAAACACACCCTAAGTTTGAATGTTAGCTTTGCCGGTAAGTGATCAATTGTTATACCATGGATCAAAGTTCATATTATATTGTGGACCCTAATCCAAAAATTATGTGTTTACGGTTAACACATTATGTATCTGCAGTTAATAATTTATGTACATGTAAACAAATTGAAGACACTTAATATAGTAATTATAAACGAATAACATAATAACTACAGACACATAAATTGTTAACTAAAGACACGTAAGATGTTGGTAAACAAGTTATGTGTCTGTAGTTAACATATTATGTACATACAGTTAAAAGTTTATGTTTGTAGTTATCATGTTATGTGTCTGTAATTACCATGATGTGCCATCAATTTGTTTACAGTTACATGTATAGAATTTGAAGGTTATTTTTGGATCAGGATCCATGATGCAAGGTAGATTCTGGTCCATGGGATAATTTGTCGCCAATGATCTCATTTATCATTATATCGGTGGACCATAGTCTAACTTGTGAAGTGAATCATTGATGTAAGGTTCATTTTTAGGGGATGTGTTTTGGTGCGGAGATGCTCTCAGGTGAAAAATATAGGGTTAGATCTAAGTCGTTGATCAAATCTAGATCAACGGCTCAAATCAATGAAAATTAAAAAAAAAAAAATAATGCGCGCCCTCAAATGCATCCATCTTCTTCATGTTTACTGCAAAAGATAACAACTCCACTATTTGTTATTATATTGCTATTATATATTTTTTCCTTTTAAATTAGATCATTTTGAACTTGGGAATCAAAACTGAAAAAATCCATAGTACTGCTGAATGAAAAAAAAAAAAAATTGTAAAAATGGTGCACCTTAAGAAGGAAAACAAAGCACCATAAGAAGGAAAACAATGCACCATAAGAAGAAAAACCACACACCTAAAACATTATACCGATGCACCTTAAGAAGGAAAATCACGCACCTAAAGCTTTAGACCGGTGCACCTTAAGAAGGAAAACCACGCACCTAAAGTTTTAGACTAACGCACTTAAGTTTTCAACAACTGGCGCACCTTAAGCACACAACACAAAAATCACACACCTTAAGCACAAAAATCTTGTACCTTAAGAAGGAAAACCACGCACCCTTAAGGTTAGGGATTCAACCTTTTGGGAGAAGAAAACCACGCACTTTAAATTTGACCTAAATGCAAAATGATCAATGACTCTCATCTCACCACTCCTCCGCACCTGGGCGCACCATCCGCATGAAAACTAAATTCTCATTTTTAGTATACTGAATGTTTATTTTTAGTACATTGAATACTCATTTTTTAAAAATTTATTTTTAATATACTGAAAATTCATTTTTAAGTATACTATTTAATATCTCATTTAGGGTATTGCTATTTGCACCACTCTTTGGTCAAAAAGGGGTATAAAGTACATTGGAATTGTGAAAAGGTAAATTTTTTTAATAATTACATAGGTGGTGTAAATAACTAAATAGGTGGTCAAATTGCTATTTGCACCACCTAGTCAAACCTCATTTATTAGGTGTAAGTAATAATTTTTTAATTCAAAATTTAATTAATTAAAGCATTAAAAAAAAAAAAACAATTTCCGGTCATCTTTAACTCCCTCGCGAGATTCCTCGTAAGCTATCCACACTGGACATTCTACCCCATCATGCTCTTAATCGCGAGAATTAACATGTTTATTCAATCCTGGAAAACGGTTTTATTCAAGAAAAAAAATTCGCGAATCATGCGCAGGAAATCCTAGGGTTAATAATTTTCTGGATTTTGTACCCGTTTCTTCTCTCCAGTTTACCCAACCATTCGAAGAGAAATGAGAATAATGTTTGTTGTTCTAAGTTTAATGATGACGGGGGTTCAGCAAATCCAGTTCAGTTTGAATCATCTCGCCTCCAGCTTCTTCGTCGAGCCGTTGACCGGAAAAGATTGGGTGGGGAAGCAGATCGACAGGACACTCGACATCGACTGCTCGCCGTTGATGGATTGGTTCCACGGTGAATTGCAATTCCAGATTGAACACCACATGTTCCCGACAATGCCGAGGTGCCAGTTAAGAAAAGTGTCGTCGTTCGTTGAACAGCTTTGCGAGAAACACGGATTAGTGTATAACCATGAATCCTTCTGGGCGGCCAACGTTTTGATGTTCAAGTCGATCCGAGATGCGGCGTTGATGGCCAGGGATTTGTCGCTGGAGAAAGCGCCCAAGAATTTGGTCTGGGAAGCGTTAAAAAGCTCGCCGGAGAAGGCCAAGTTTCTTTGTTTCTTTCTTTTAAAAAAAAAAAAAAATTAATAGATTGATTATTAAATAAAAATAAATAATAAATAATAAAAATTAATGTTTGACTACATTTAATGAGGTGGTGCAAATAGCACTTTTCTTTTACACCACCTACAAAACTATTATACCTATTAAATAGGTGGTGTAAATAGCAAATAGGGTGGTGCAAATAGAATTTTCCATTTAAAAATAACCATTCAACACATTAATAATAAATCTTTAATATTATAAAATTAAGCCTTTATCAATGGTCCACATTTCAATGTAGATTATGATTCATAATATAATTTGCCCTGCTCTCATGGGTTCAACATCCTATCCAACAAGTTTTTATGGCAGATGCCACTATACAACTACTTTTTTTAAAAAAAATAAGGTCCATTTATTAAAACTAAATTTAAAATAAAAAATTAAAACAATGAAAGGTCCAAGGGGCACAAAAGTTCATCATTGGCCCAAATAAAGCAACTGAATAATCTAACAATACGAACATGATCATGATCTACACAGCTATCGTGTGTACTACAAATAAAAAGTATATTATTTATATATACATAAAATAAATTATTTGAGTACTAAAAGTATTATATATTATTTTGTATATTATAAAATAATATAAATTCAATATATAAATAATATATTTTTAATATATTAAAAATATATTTTTTAATAATTCACATAATACTGTTTGAATCATGATCGATTTAAAATTTTCTGCCACCTACTAGTTCAAAATTGAAACCTAACATAATGACAACAAATACAAAAATTGGCTAACCACTATCCAGTCAATGAAAATAAACTAAATATAAAAATATATAGATCAAACCAACCACAATGCCAAATCGAGCATTTCCAATCCACAACCAATCATCAGCAACAAGAGTCTCCAAAGCATGTCAAATGGACCAAACCAAACTATAGCACGATAGTGAATAATCAACACAAAGCAACCGACCAAGCCACAACAGAAAACTCAACCAAATGCACCCTCACAATCCTTAATATGTCAACCACTCAACCCCCATTTTAACTAACGGGTAACTATCAATAGACTTGATGAGCCTTTACCGGTGACCATTAGCAAATTTTATCATAGAGTAAGATTTACATAGTATTATGAACCATTGATTGAAACAACAAGATACAAAATTTCATAACACAAAACATAAATGTTGGATATGAGCATTACACTATGCTTACTTCCACATAATATTATGAACCATTGATTGAAACAACGAGATACAAAATTTCTTAACACAAAACACAAATGTTGGATCTGAGCGTTGCGCTATGCTTACTTGTAAGTCAAGCACGCTTAATCCCAGAGTTCTTTGGCTATCAGATTGTCATATCCTACTTAAACCAATTGGTGATACGTAGGTGAACATTAAACATTTAACCATATTCCTCCATGATAAGCCACAACACCACGTCTCAAATTGAACAGAGGCTAAACTTGGTCAACGCCCAACAACAAAAAATCACAACACAAGAGACATAGTATCGCATTATGGACTCAACTGGATTGAAAAGACGAGGTACAAAATTCATACTCGTAAGGTACAAAATTTCATAACACAAGACACATTCACATGTTATATATTTGTTTATTATATTTTTCAAATCTGATTTAGGTAGATAATTTTTGTTCATAAGTACAAAATTCCACAACACAAGACACAGATATTCATAACATAAGACAATTATTAATTTGTTCCAGGTATAGAACTCACACTCATAAGGTACAAAAATTCACAATGCA